GGAGGACATAACATGCGCACATTTGCGGAAAAACCCGAAAAAGATCCCTGCAGAAAACTTTAAGTAGCGCGGGTTTGCGTTAGCGAAATTTACAAACACGATAACAAAGGCGCTAGGTTGACTTAGCTTTTTAATTAAAGTTCACAACCTCGTGCGAAGGTACTCTGTCCGTTATTAAATCTTCGTATAAAAGCTCCAACGGTAGGATGTTTTGTGTTCTATCAAACAGTGGAACCCATAAATTCTGGTTGCATTTGTGCCAAAAGTGTTAGATTAGATGTAGCATTAATAGCTCAGTAAATACAATAGATTTTGGACATCCAAATGGTACGACACGGCAAAATCGGAGATAGTGCAGTTCCCTTCCGCGAAATTTAGGATATGTACTCGAACGCATAAACGAAATGAAAGAGGATAGGTTTGGCGAAAAGCCCGTAGAAGCGAACAGGCCAGTTCCAGGAAACAGCGCAGAAGAAGAAGAAGAAGAAGAAGAAGAAGAAGAAGAAGACGCGATTGCTGAAGCAAGAAGTTTATTGGCCTGATATTTCGGCTTCAAATTCGAACCCAGCGGACCAATCTATAGTCGTCTACCGTTCTCCCAAATGTATTTGACTTCGCAGATGATACACTGAATCCGGTAGTTCACCTTCGTGGTTTTGCGTCGTGGCAGAGGGACCTTAGGTCTCATGATCAGATGTAGAATTGTTTACTCCGGTCGGTAGGCAACACCTATACCCAGCGGTCTTAAGAGACGGGAGACCGCCTTAGAAACACCGTCGATGCATGAAAGCACCCGCCATATTTTTAGTCGTTCTGTCACATAATTTTGAATTGGTTCGGCCTGCCCGTCGCGTTCGCTGAAGTTTCGAGGATATCCTTTGGCTATGAAGAGGCGCTGGGAGTAGCGTAGTTCTGCCCTCTGTATAATGTTCGCACACAACTGGGTTTAGGGCATAACGGGTGCGCTCTGTGCCAGCTCAGGATTTAACGTGCCAGTCAGTCAGTGTCTTTGAGGGAAAATGCTTACGCCCTTGAACTCCCTTTTTGCACATAAAAAATCGATAAATAGGCAAAAATGTGAAGAAATTACAGCACTAAATGAATGCAGACAGTGATTCACATATGTCACGGGTCTCATGGCTAAAAAGTCACATAGTCTGCTTGTTGCTGCAGCATTTATCTGTCAAGCCGACATTTCAATCTCTCCACAGATTAAGACATGACAATCCTCTCGGGTAGGTTATTGCACGGTTCCACGACACGGTTGGAGAAGAAATATTTTCTCACATTCAATCTACTCTGGGGCACACGTAGCTTGAAGAGATGTCCCCGGAGGTTAGGTGTAGTTGCGCGTGGGAAAAAGTCGTCGTACTGAAGGACCCAGTCCAAGCCACGCACGATACGAAAAACTAGTACCAAGTTCTGGGACCATTGCTCTTCATCCTTTACGTTAACGACAGTCTTCCGGAACTCGGCTGCGGCCAAATAATGTTTGCGGACGACGTTAAGCTCTGGCAAGTCATTAAGGGTCCGAATGATCAGAGGTCCCTTCAAGATAATCTGCACCGACTGCAAGCGTGGTCGAAGAAATGGCTTCTAGATTTCAATGTGGTGAAGTGTGCCGTCCTTCATCTGCGTCCAACCAACTCTCATTCAGATGAGAGCCTGAGGACTTATCACCTGAAAGATATAAGGCTCCCGCCGAATCTTCACAGAAGGATCTCGGGGTTTGGATACAAAACAACCTGAAACCAACACTGCAGTGCCACAAGGTTGCAAAAAACGCCATAAGAGTGCTGCATGCAATAAAAAGGGCTTTCGTAAATTTTGACCAAGACCTTTTTGGGAGAGTTTACGGCACATTTGTTCGGCACCACTTAGAATATGGCATACAAGCATGGCGGCCATGGCTGGTTAAGGACCAAGAATGCCTCGAACGGGTACAACGGCGTGCAACAAAGCTGGTAAACGGTCTAAAAAGCCATTCCTACACAGACAGACTGAACTGCCTTAATTTATTCCCTCTGTGTTACAGGCAGCAAAGAGGTGATCTTATCCTCGTCTACAAGATAATACATGGCCTTGAGCACGGACTTACCTTTGAGGACATGTTTCAGTAGCACCTTTCACCCAATCTTCGTGGTCACTCGAAGAAGTCAAGGTCAAGGTCAAGCCGCTGGTTTTAAATTTGAAGATAAGTGGAGGATATTATTTTAAGTGGTTTTTCTGTGAGATCCTACGATTTTAGTACCCGTTTTTTTGTTTGAATTTCCTAAAATACAGGCCTTTTCTCAAAGAACTGCCCGCTGCCATCTTCTTTGGAGTTTTGCTAGTCTATGCCCGTTGTTCACTAATCGCACTTTGCAATTCTCATTTTGTGCATCCGATTTCTCTCTAACTGTTGTAATTTATTTTTACATCGTTAGCCCCTAGCTGAAATCCAGTCAACTTGTCTGCCAGAAGTTTTCTTAATCACAAATTGCCTCGAGACAAGATGAGACCAAAAGTCACTGGTCGACGTAAGCTCTCGGCTATTGTAAGTAAACATGGCCTAACTAAACGTAAGTCAGAAGCTTTACCTAAATCTAAGTCAGATGATATTACTAGTCAGTCGTCACCCGTTGTAATTGGTCGGCAGCTTAATCTGTCTGCACTTGACCACTGCAATGACTTTATGCTAAAGTTTGGCTCTTTGCTGACAATTCTTGGACATTTATTCGACGGGAACATCTCCGATATTCCCTCTGAAGAATGTAGGCGTCTCGACTCACTTGTTCACCTGATCGCCAGTGAATCTAGTGATAGACAGAAGCGTTCTTACAACTTCCTGCTAAAAAATGTTCCTCGATCTGCTCGGCCAATTGATGTTGCGACCAATTTCCTGTATTCATGTGGTCTCAACTATAAAATAGCTGATGCCAAACGCTTGTCCTCCCGTATTACAAATCCACCCATCTTAGTTAAATTGTTTTCATCAATCTGTAGTGACATTTAAGTCTGTTTCGTTTTAATCTGTTACAATACGCTTTGACACAACTTTGAATAAGACAAAGAACACGCACGTGCACTTTTACCTGCCGACGACTTTGTTCTTATTTACTAGTTTGTAACTGTTGGGATACTGCTATTTTCGTTTCCTGGATAGCCTACTCGCTGTGCCCAACTAGTGGGTTTGTCTCTTACACTGGTGACCCTGTATCGTTCATAGCTCCTTCTGTTTAATCTCTGTGCATAAGTATTTCCATTCGGATTAATCCTCCCTCTAATTTTTATCGATCAGATTATTCATCTAGCCCTTATTGCTCTCCACACTGTCTCACCCTTTCATCCAATACGAGCGCCACCCTTCAGTCTCACCGTCAACGCGCCAGTCCTCTACCCCATTTATCTGACCTCTGACCGACTCCGGCTAATTATGTCCAGCGATTCTGACAACCAGCCGATAGCCGGCATTCACACTTTTGACCTGCCATCTGTGTGGCTCGGTGACATCGCGTTATGGCTGCGCACCGTAGAGTCACGATTCGCCCTCCGTCAGATCACACGAGAGGATACGAAATTTCACTATGTTGTGGCAGCACTCCCAATGGACATCGCCATCGACCTCCGCGACATCATAGATTGCCCGCCCACAGAAGCCCCTTATACTGCCCTAAAGGAGGCTCTCATTTCCCGAATTTCCCTCTCAACGCAAAAACGTCTCCAGCGCTTAATTTCTGAGGAGGACCTCGGTGACAGAAAGCCTACGCAGCTTCTTAGGCGTTTGGAGCAGTTGGCAGATAGACAAAAGCTGGATGCCGCCATGTTCAAGCAACTTTTCCTCCAACGGTTGCCTCCTTCTGTGCAAGCCATCCTTGCGCCTAACATTCCTTCTTCGACTGTTCAGATGCTCGCACAGACTGCTGACCGTATACTCGAGTACTACCAGCCTCCTGTTACGGTTAACGTCGCTAGTCGAAGCACAACTGCCCCCACAATCGAGGATGTCGTCAAACGCCTGGATGCCCTCACTCTCGAAGTTTCCCAGCTCCGGGCCACTCGTGTCTATAACCCTCGTAGTCCTGCAATTTCTCGCCGCCCGAGATCTCCCACTCCAAACAAACCTACAGTTGATGGTTTCTGTTGGTATCATCACAATTATGGTTCTAACGCCCATCGCTGCCACTCTCCGTGCAAGTATAAAACACCCGCGTCGGAAAACTCCCCTGCCGACCAGTAAGGGCGACGAACGTGGTCGGCACATCCTCTCCCAGTCGCTTACTCCACATCTATGACAGGACTTCCTGTCGTAATTTTCTCGTGGATACTGGTGCGGAGATCAGTCTAATCCCACCCATTTTGATTGATCGTAAGTCACCAAATTCTTCATTTTTCCTCCAAGCAGCTAACAATACTTCTATTAAAACTTTTGGTGAACGATCCCTAACACTAGATTTGGGTCTAAGACGTTCATTTCGTTGGCTATTTACTATCGCTGATGTCCATACTGCCATTCTCGGCGCTGATTTTATATCCTTTTTCGGCCTCCTCGTTGACATTAAGTCCCATAAATTATTTGATCCTAAGACTTCTTTACATTGAAATTGTTCCACTCGTACACTTTCATCACCTAATCCACGCATTTCAACAATCCCTTCGTCTACTCCCTACCATCGTTTACTTTCGGAATTTCCATCTATCACACGACCTTCACAATTTAACCAACCTATCAAGCATTCTGTTGTACATTATATTTCAACCACTGGACCACCCGTGTTTAGCCGTCCCCGTCGTTTAGCCGCCGATAAGTTAGCCATAGCCAAGGCTGAATTCAGTCACATGATGGAGATAGTCATAGTTAGGCCTTCCACTAGTCCATGGGCTGCACCTCTACATATGGTGTGCAAAAAGTCTCTCGTTGACTGGCGCCCATGCGGGGATTACCGACGGTTAAACAGCTCCACTATGCCTGACAGGTATCCACTTCCCCATCTCCACGACTTTTCATCTAGCCTAGCTGGAGCAACAATATTTTCTAACATTGACCTAGTCAAAGCTTTCCATCAGATACCCGTTGCTCCAGAAGACGTTCCCAAAACGGCGATTACAACACCGTTCGGTCTGTTCGAGTTTGTCAGGATGCCTTTTGGGCTACGCAACTCCGCCCAAACTTTTAAACGTTTCATCAACGAAGCCCTCCGCGATCTACCTTTCGTTTTTGTCTACGTCGACGATGTTCTGGTAGCAAGTTCCAGTGAACACGAGCACCTACAATATTTGCGTCTCATTTTTGAACGATTGAGCCAATTTGGCGTTTTCATTGATGTTTCTAAATGCGTTTTTGGCGCACAGTCGCTGTTTTTCCTAGGACATCGCGTAGATGCTTCTCGTTGTCATCCCATAGATGCCAAAGTTTCAGCTATTCGCGATTTCCCTACTCCCACTTCTTTTCAACAACTGCGCCGTTTTATAGGCCTTGTCAATTTCTATCGACGTTTCATCCCTCATTGTGCTCAATTAATGCTACCACTTACTAAATTTTTACGCGGGAACAACCGTGAGTTTTCTTTTCCTGACACAGCTGTAGAGGCTTTCAATCGTGCGAGGAAGGCTCTTGCGGATACAACTGTCCTTGTTCACCCTATACCTGATGCTCCACTTTCCATTGTGGCCGACGCCTCCAATTTCGTTATAGGTGCTGCCCTTCAGCAACAGACGCCCACTGGCACCCAGCCCTTGGCTTTCTACTCTGCCAAATTTACACCCCCACAAACTCGCTATAGCACTTTTGGTAGAGAACTTCTTGCAATTTATTTAGCCATTAAGCATTTTCGTAATTATATTGAGGGCCGAGATTTTTGTATTTATACTGACCACAAGCCTCTTACTTATGCCCTCTCTACTTCTTCTGACAAGTATTCACCCCGCGAGGCCCGCCATCTCGATTTTATTTCTCAGTATACCACCGACATTCGATTTCTTAAAGGCCTTTATAATCAAGTTGCTGACTGTCTTTCTCGGCCTGGCATTAATGCCATCACCCGCCCTTCCATGGATTTGGAGCGCATGGCAGAACTGCAAAATCAGCCGACTTTCAGTGAGAGCCTTCAGCACACTAGTCTTCAACTCGAAGCCATTCCTCTTACCACCACCCCCGGTACAATCTTGTGTGACGTATCGCGCGGTGCCTCCCGACCCGTAGTGCCAAGAGAGATGAGACGAGATGTCTTTGCCGCGTTGCACAATCTAGCTCACCCTGGCATCCGCACTACCCAGCGCCTCGTCAGCGAGCGGTTCGTTTGGCCAAGCATTAACACTGATATACGCCAGTGGGCCCGTTCATGTTTGGCCTGTCAGAAAGCCAAAGTCGGATGGCACAACAAAGCCCCCATTGACACTTTTCTCGCACCCGACGCACGTTTTTCCCATGTTCATATCGATCTGGTAGGTCCCTTTCCAACATCTCGTGGTTGAAACTACTTACTTACTGCGATTGACCGATTTACTCGTTGGCCCATTGCAACTCCCATACCTAACATAACTGCAGATTCCGTTGCCCATGCTTTTTTGGAACACTGGATCTCTCATTATGGCGTCCCCTCAACCATTAACACCGATCGAGGTCAACAATTCGAGTCTAGACTGTTTAACAGCCTTACCAACCTCCTCGGATGTTCTCGCATACGCACGACAGCATACCACCCCTCATCCAACGGTTTAGTCGAGCGTTTCCACCGGCAACTCAAAGCCTCGCTCCGAACTCATGACAACCCTTCCCATTGGAGCGAGCATCTCTCTTTGGTCATGCTCGGTATCCGTACCGTATCCGTATAAGCCCGACTTGGAGTGTTCCGCTGCCGAACTTGTCTACGGTACTACCCTACGGATTCCAGGTGATTTTTTCGGATACTCTCAAAGCTCAGCCGACTTGGATCCCAGCGATTATGTGCAAAGATTGCGCCAAGCCATGACTCATCTTCGAGCCACTCCTCCACGTCCTTCAACAAGTAAGTCGTACGTCGACCCGAACTTACTAACATGTTCTTTTGTATTTGTCCGCATAGATAGCGTTCGCCGGCCACTACAACAGTCCTATGACGGCCCATTTCGAGTACTATCGCGCAAGGACAAGCACTTTACAATTGACCGTGGAGGCCGCACCGACGTGGTTTCAATCGATCGCTTGAAGGCGGCTTATACCGAGCCTCTTCCAACTTCTCCAACCGAACAACCTCCACTTGGCACATTGCCACTAACTATTTCCCAGACTCCATTTACGCCCAATAACCCTGCGTCTTCCCTTATCCCACAGACTCCTCCCCTTACGCGCAGTGGTCGTCATGTCCGTTTTCCCGACCGTTACCAACTTGAACAATATGCATAACACTCCCACATTTTCCTTCTATTAACAATAATTTTTTTGAACTCCATTCTCCTAGGAGGGGGAGTATTGTAGTGACATTTAAGTCTGTTTTGTTTTAATCTGTTACAATACGCTTTGACACCACTTTGAATAAGACAAAGAACACGCACGTGCACTTTTACCTGCCGACGACTTTGTTCTTATTTACTAGTTTGTAACTGTTGGGATACTGCTATTTTCGTTTCCTGGATAGCCTACTCGCTGTGCCCAACTAGTGGGTTTGTCTCTTACAAATCGAAATTGACACAATCTTTACTCATCGAGAGCGTGTCACTGCGTACCTAGAGAAGGCAAAATTTTTCCTTTGTCATGATCTTACTCCTATGGGGCGTAGACTCGGGTCTCTATTCTCACGTAAACCTACTGCTTCTCAGTCCAATGCTCCCCATCTCGGTCATAATACAAGTGGCCGTAAGGATTCAGCTTCTCCAACTCCTGCGACATCTGACTCCCTCCTTCCTCCTTCTCCTACATCTCCATCTCACTCAAGCCACTTGACGCATTTGCCTGCCACTAAACATGCAGCAGCAGCCCCATTTGTCGTTTCGTATCCTCCGGATAGTCCCGCTGAGACACGTGAAAATCCGTCTGCATCAGCTAGACCGATAACTTCTATTGTCCAACTGGGTGCTGTAATGTCTACAGCTAAGTCACCCGTGGCTTGGCGTCAGCACGGTGAGACTCGAAAATTGAATCAGACTCCGACCCAAAAGATAGGTAGTACAGTTCCGTTTAGGGATACGACGCCTTCTCTTAGATCTAACAAGTCTGTTCAGCCCAGCACGCCTACAAACCCTGCAGCTCCAATTATATCCCCGAATAATTCTCTGTCCTGCGTACCGGTTACTTATCAAAGCCCTACTATATATCCAACAAATAATTCATACATGAATTGCCCTTAATCCTTTATGCCCCAACATAGTTCAGGCTTCCCAAAACTTAAGGCCAATTGCTCTCAGGTACGTCAACCTATCTCATTGACTTCCAATCTAGACCTGGTTTCTCACCATTTCATTCTTTTAGTGGCCTACCCTCACCCATTAGCCCCTACTTTCCTTCTAGCCTCCCTCCTCCTCCCCTTCCTCCATTATTTAACTACCAACAAGTCTATCCATGTTCTAACTCCCCTAGCATTCCAATGTTTGAAAACTATATCCCCACCTCCTTTAGGTCTCATACTCAGCCTTCTCTTGCTGACTCCTCGTACGTCAATAACTCTAGACTAACTGGTACTTATTCTCCAAGTGTCATTTATTCGGAACTTACATATCCGCCTCCAAATTTCTTTTAAATACCGTCGAAAATAGCATTGCCGTTCGAAACACATTAGATATTATATCATTGAATGCCAGGTCTGTTATAAACAAGATGGCCCAAATCAGAGCCATTGCTCTGGAAATGACGCCTGATATTATATGTGTAACAGAATCTTGGACACATTCTCTAATTCCTGACTCTGCCCTTCTCATAGATGACTTCGATTTTTACCGCCAAGACCGCACGACTAGGCGTGGGGGTGGTTGTCTTCTTTATCTTAAATCCTACCTAAAGCACTCTCCCTATTACTTGGATGTTTCCTCATTCGCGGGAAACTTCTGCTTTGCATCTGTTATTCTCTCGCCACAAAGAAAGGCAATTATTGGCTGTATCTACAATCCCCCAAATTCTTTAGCCAGTGATGATTCTCAACTCTGTGAAATCTTTAAATTAATTTAGGAAGCTGCTTTCGATGATAAAATAATCACTGGGGATTTTAACCTTCCTGAAATAGACTGGGTTTCCAATAGCTGCCCACCCAGATTCCAGCCCTTTCAAGATATTGTCAATTTTTTTAATTGGTCCCAACTGGTGCGCTCTCCAACAAGAGATAATCACATTTTAGATCTAATCTTTACCAATGACATTGCTCCTCTTTCTGTTGCTTTAAAAAAGGACCTCTTTGACAGTGACCACGTGTTAATTCATTGTTGCCTACCGCTTGCCTTTTTCAAAAAGACAAGCGCCGTTCAGACTTTCATGAACTACGACTGCGTAGATAGCGAATTAATAAATAATTATATGAGATCCTTGGATTGGTGCGGCTTCCTCACTTGTAGCGATGTAACCATTCTTCGTGATGTCATGTCCAATGCTTCCAAGGACATTCTAGAGTTTGTGCCGCGTAGATATTTCAAGCCTAATTCTTCAGATTTTCTTGTTCCTCATTTTCTTCAGAACAGACTAAAAAAGTTGAGGCGACAACTGCGTGACCCATCCATTAGTTCCTTATCTGTTCATCTTAGAATCACAGAGATATTTGAGATGGCCTCAAGGATGCGCCTAGCGCGCGAAAGGTAAAGAGAATCAATTGCTCCCAGTGGTTCGCACCCTGGCAAATCCGTCGCTAACATCTTCCGTCATCGGTCCTCCTCTAAGCGTGGTCATGAACTTCCACCCATGCTAAATGATAACAAAGTCTTCCTCGCCGATGACACTGACAAGGCGGAGTTGTTTAGTGCTTTCTTTGCAAAACACCTTGCTACCGAGTCCGATCCGGTCCCTTTCTTTCGATCACTTTCAGATAGGACACTGAGTACAATTGATGTCTCCTCAGATCTCATTAAGAAACACATAAGCCGTTTGAAATACTCCCACTGCTCAGGAACGGACGGGATTCCGAATTCGATTATTAAACAAGAGTCCGACTTTCCCATATTGCTCAGTCATTTATTCTCGGTTTATATTTCAAAAGGATTCTTTCCTGAAACATGGAAAACGTCAATTATCATTCCCGTTTTCAAGTCAGGATCTCGGTCCGATGTTAATAACTATCGGGGCGTGCACAAAACGCCGTCTCTAGCAAAACTTCTTGAAAGGATTATTTTCAATGAAATTCTTGACTTCTGTCTAGCTAATCGGCTTCTGAGCTCTAGTCAGCATGGGTTTTTACCTGAACGATCCTGCGAAACATGTCACTTGGCTTTTCTTAATCTAATCACTTCTCTTCGTAATGAGCGGCAGTCAGTGGTTGTTATTTACTTTGATCTTAGCAAAGCCTTTGACAAAGTGCCCCATAGACCTCTTTTAGTAAAATTGGAAGCTCTCGGCATCCGGCCGCCTCTACTCGACTTCATTAGGTCCTATCTGTCCAACCGATATCAGAAAGTCATGGTCGCTAATAGTTACTCGACAACCCACTCGATCACGAGTGGCGTACTTCAAGGAACGGTTCTGGATCCGCTACTCTTCCTTCTGTACATCAATGATATTTCGACTGAACTCGGAAATTCGCAAACTTTTACTTATGCCGATGACCTCAAGTGTGTTTACTCATACTCTAAGAACACCGCAAATGTTTGTGTTGAAAAAATTAATGTCGATTTACTACGCTTCAGCAGATGGGGTTCGACATGGCAGATGGAGTTTTCATCATCCAAGTGTAGTTTCATGTCTTTTGGTCCTACCGAACTTCCTGGTCCCATAATTTTTCAGAATAACACACTCTCAGAATGCCTCACCATAAGGGACCTAGGTCTAAGTTATACAAATAAACTTGCTTTATCACCTCATGCAGATAGAATCTCTGCCAAAGCCGCGCAGATATGTGGATTCATATCGTATAATTTTTTCCTTCCGTAAAT